GGCGTGCAGACATTGGTGGGCTGCTTGGCTTTGATGCGCATGCCGAATCGCTAGAGGATGTCACACCGGAGTGCCAGCGTCACAGAGACGGCCTGGACAAGAAGGCGGGCCCCAAGACATTGCCGGCCTGGAAGACGAAGTGGCAGAAGATCAAAGAGCATCGCACCCGCGGTCCCGCACCTGGCGGATCGATCAACGACAACGAGGCGGGGGCCAGTCTCGTCAACAGGGAAATGATGTGCGTCTGCCCCGACGCAGAGCCGATGGACGTCACGGAGGAGGCCGACCACTCCATGAACTCCGCAACCTTGATCGGTGGAGGGCGCGATGGCGTCCTCGCAGAGTTCCAGACGGGCCGGCTTGCCGAGGCAACGTGGGACTGACGGCGGTCTGCGCGGTGTCCGGGGGCGCTTCTGCCGAGGCGCCCGCTCTCAGGCGCATCGACGACAGGGCCCGCCCGCCCCGGGCCCCCGCCCGCCTCCGCCCTCTGTGAGGCCCCCGTGAGCTCGTGGCCGGTGAGGTCTCCAGGGGGGTAAGGCTCTGGATCGAGCAGTGGCGACGCGTTCTGGCTCGCCTATGGGCTGTAGGCCCGCCAAAGACTGTTCTCAGAACCTTTTGTTGTGGTTTGCACGAAATGTTCTTAGAACAGTTCCGGCTGATACTGTTTCGTTTTAAGTCATTGCTTTTTTGTTCTACGAGCATTGTTTTTGCCCATCGAGCCTTCTTTTTTGTTCTGAGAGCATTCCGTGGTGAGCCAGCCTATAGGAATGCAGGGGCGGTCGGTCCCTGCTCAACTGGAGGAGAGTTGTCCCCCGGGATTCCCACCGCGGCTGGGTCACCATACACACGCGTTTTGCAGCATTTGTGTGTTTTTCGGGCCAGCGGGTCCGCCGATTGGGCGCATCCGCGGGCCGAGCATCCGCAGGGAGGGGAGGAGGAGGAGGAGGAGGAGGAGGAGGAGGAGGAGGAGGACCACTGTGGAAGCAGGCGCACTATTGGCTTTTGACCTCTTGAGCTTGCTCTGAGCTTGCTCGGGTTTCTGCCATGCGCGCACGTTTTACAAGACTCGGCCATGCGCGAGCGGGAACGACACGTTTATTGAGCTGGCTTGCTGATTGATCCTCTGACTTGGCTGCCATCGGTCGGTCTAAGTAAAAACCTTCCACCCACCCCCTCGCTCGTTGGTCGCAGGCTTGGACTTGGTTGCCGCTGGCAGGACTCGGCAATCCCTCCCCCCCTTCGCTCTTCGGTCGGATTTTGCCTGATTTTCTCTTTGGGCTTGTCTTTTCTGCCGGTAGGTCTGAGTAAAACTCTCCTCCCCCCACACCTCGCCAGCTGGTCGGATTTTGCTGGATTTTCTTCTTGGGCGTGGCTACCCGCTGGCAGGTCTCAGTAAGACCCTCCTCCCTCCACACCTCGCCAGCTGGTCGGGTCTTGCTCGATTTTATCCTTGGACTTGTCTGCCGTCGGTGTTCTCGACAGAAATCGAAGAGAAACAGTAGCATAAGCATAAGCTTTCGGCGCTCGGCGCGAACTTCTTGGATCGGCGCCTGGGACCCCTGGCGGCGCCCCTGGCACCGCCCCTGGCGCGCTCCGCTCGCCAGGGAGCGGGGTCCCGTGCCGATCCTAGAAATCCGCGCGGAGCTCCAAAAGTCTACTTTTATGCTGTGTTTGCTATTCTATCAGCAGAACCTTCCCCACCCCACACTCGCGCGTTGGTCGGGGGGCGGGGGTAAAGAGTAGGAACCGCACGCGTTTCTTCTCAAGCATGCACGTGTTACTCTGTGCCGTTTCATGCTGTCCAAATCCCGGCATTTCGTCAACGCCAACACGCTGAATGTCGAAGAACAAGAACTGCCATCAACACAAATGTTTGGTGTCCCGCGCGGATTTCTTGGATCCGGGCTGGTCTCCCCCCCCGGCGGCGGCGCCTTCGGCGCCGCCCCTGGCGCGCTCCGCGCGCCAGGGAGGGGGGTCCAGCGCAGATCCAAGACGTCCGCGCGGAGTGCCAACAGTCTATGTCTGTGGCATCTTCTCTTCTTCTCAACCCGCCGAAGGGGGGCCATCCTCGGGGGGGGGCCCAGATGGTGCGGCGACCACGCTACGTGGCGAGTCGGTGGGGATCCTCGGGGCCACCGCACGGTGTTTTTCGGCCTCCGGCCGGTCTCCCGGGGCGCCTCTCTCTCGGGCGACGGGGGGGGCCCGTCGGGGGCCCCACGGCCGTGCAGTGGCGGGCCGCGTGGCGAGGTCCCTCGGGATCTCGAGGCCACCGCGGGGTCTGTCACCACGCGGCTCTGGGGCCCCCAGCCATCCGACTGGCGTGGCACTGGTGCCGTTTCTGCTCCCCGAGTCGGCGGCCTTTGGGTGGGCCTCGCGGGCCGTGCAGCCAGTGCCCCCACCCCGCAGTGCGGGGGGGGCGTCGTCAGCCGGCCAAGGCAGCCGAAGAGGCCAGTGTTGGCGGCGCACACGAAGGGGTGGCGCGAGAAGGGGGGGAACCTAAGAAGCCGGGGCTTTTCCGAAGGCCAGGGCCTTCTCGGAAAGGCCCAGGGAGTCTTCTACAAGGAGGCTTCTCAGGAGCGGGAAGGGCTCCTGATACAGCAAACGCGCCTCGTAAGGACACGCGCCTTCATACAGGGTGCGTACCCTTGTGTCCTTGCCTCTGCGGCCCGTTCTGTGCCGTTCTCACTGGTCGCCCGCCGCCCAAAAGATCTCAACTTCGGCCGCCAGGGGTCTTGCGTCCTTGCCACCCGTCCTCAATACGGCCAAGCGTATGGTTAAGAAACCTCCTCCCGAAAAGCCGGACCAGCGTTTCTTAACCAACTTGCTGGAAAGTTGGTCCAGCTTCTTGAGTACGTTCGCCCCTCCAGCGTGAACGGCAGATTTTGGGCCAGGCTTGCTTTGAGAACTCTGCGGGAAGCTGGCCCAGATTTCTTAAACGATCATGTTTTTGATCATATGTTTGGCTGTGCCACGTTCTGACTGTAGGCTCTCTGAGGAGCCCGTTGGGGGGATGACGGGGGGACGGCGAGGGACGCGGCATAGAGGAGGACGACGGTCGAGGGGGCGGGGGCGAGGGGAACGGGTGAGGGCAGCCGCGGGCGGCGGCGGCGGTGTGCGGAGTGACCCTCTTCCAAGTCTTCCCGAGGTCTCCAGACGAGCTCTGCCGAGTCCCGAAGATGGCCGAAGCTGTTCAGAGACCCAGAGCCTTCTCCTGCTGCTGCTGCTGCTTCTCCTCCTCCTCCTTTTCCTGCTCAACGTCCTCTTCTACACTGGGCACCCTCCTGCTGCTGCTGCTCCTGCTGCTGCTGCTGCTGCTCCTGCTGCTCCTGCTGCTGCTGCTCCTCCTTCTCCTCCTCCTGCTCAACGTCCTCTTCTACACTGGGCCTCCGTCTACTCTTCTTCTTCTTCTTCTTCGTCCTCCTCCTTCTCCTCTCCCCCTCCTCCTCCTCCTCCTCCTCCTCCTCCTTCTCCACGTCCTCTTCTACGCTCTGCTCAGTCACGCGTGCTTGTCGTTGAATGGTCGGAGGGTGCCGCAGGCTTCGATCCCATGGGATCGAAGCCCCAAGAGGAGCAGGAGGAGGAGGAGGAGGGGGAGGAGGATGAAGAGGAGGAGGAGGAAGAGGATGATGATGATGATGATGATGATGATGATGATGATGATGATGATGATGATGATGATGATGATGATGATGATGATGATGATGATGATGATGATGATGATGATGATGATGATGATGATGATGATGATGATGATGATGATGATGATGATGATGATGATGATGATGATGATGATGATGATGATGATGATGATGATGATGATGATGATGATGATGATGATGATGATGATGATGATGATGATGCTGATGATGATGATGATGATGATGATGATGATGATGATGATGATGATGATGATGATGATGATGATGATGATGATGATGATGATGATGATGATGATGATGATGATGATGATGATGATGATGATGATGATGATGATAATGCTCATGCTCATCATGATGATGATGATGATGATGATACTGATAATGATGATGATAACGATGATGATGATGCTGATGATGATGATGATGATGATGATGATGATGATGATGATGCTGCTGCTGATTCTGATGATGCTGATGATGATGACGATGACGATGATGATGATGATGATGATGATGATGATGAATGATGATGATGATGATGATGATGATGATGATGATGATGATGAGGAGGAGGAGGAGGAGGAGGAGGAGGAGGAGGAGAGGAGGACGAGGATGGAGAGGGAGGAGGAGGAGGAGGAGAAGAGAGGGGAGGAGGAGGAGGAGGAGGAGGAGGAGGAGGAGGAGGAGGAGGAGGGAGGAGGAGGAGGAGGAGCAGGAGGAGGAGTAAGAGGAGGCTCAGGTGGAGGAGGAGGAGGAGGAGGAGGAGGAGGAGGAGGAGGAGGTCGAAGCCCCCTTCCCTGCACAGCGCTTGTTAGTGGCATCGTGCCGAAGCTGGGCTGCAGTGAGGCGAGCGTCCTACTTTCGCGATAGCCGGACGTGCTCCCAGGTCGTGCCGCCGCGCTCCTCTCCGCCCCCTGCCCCCCTGCCCTGCCTCTTCACTTCCGGGCACAACAACTAATCACAACCACACTTGAGTTGATCTTTCGGGAGGGCCCCTCGGGGAAGAACCCACCGACCTCGACGTCAAGACTTTGGTGGGCTGTCCCAGAACGCCACATCGACCAGAACCAGCACTAAGCTGGCTTCGATGTTCTTACGATTGTTGGTATGACCAGGACACATCCCACGGTGTGTCCTCGATGTGGTTGTGATCGGTTGCTGTCCCCGCACCACTCCCTCACCCTCCCCGCCTCCCTCGTTCTCTCTCGCTTCGCTCGTGGACTTTTGCGCTCGGGTCCAAGGTGATCGGCTATCTGAGCCAAACGGACAGCTTTGAATAGTTGCCGATACCGAACTTCGCTTTCATCAACATACTGCGTACAGCTTCAACCTCTGTCAGTTATGGCGGCCATTCATTTGGCATTGCGCATGATGGGGTTTGTAGCTGCTGTTTCCAGCGAGCACGCAGACATGCAGCTCATGCAGATGCAACTGGCTGGTGTCTTGCACGGCAGCGGAACCTGGAAGCAGCCGCAGGGTTGCCACACCTCGGTGGAGGGTGATCGGTGCTACGTCGCGGTGACGTGGGCGATGCGGACGGGCGTTTTCCAGCACCCAGAGTATTATCTTCCTTTGACGAGGAATTCCAGCTTCGAGGACTTCCAGCAACACCTGCACGGCACGGCCAGGCTCGCCGACGTGTGCCCCAGGCCATGTGCAGCTGCAGCGCCGAAGTCAGAGGAGCGGGTTCGGCATGGCTCTGAAACCCAGGCGCAGAGCTCACAGTATGATGGAACTCCGGTGCCTACTGCGCAGCAGGGCGGAACTCCAATGCCAACAGTAATCCAACGGGATGACCTGCTGGTTTCAACCTACCCAGGATACGAGCAGAGCGGCCAAAATTGCCAGTGCGGAGCAGAGATCAGCGCACTTTCGGACGACTTCGACTCTCTCGAGTTATGTGCCTCGGAGTGTTCCTTGCGCCCAAATTGCAGATCCATTGGTCTTCATCCCTTCGAGTCAGTCTGGAAAGGTGGTTGTTATCTTTACGATACAGAGTGTGGGTCAACGAATGGGCATGACTCCAACACCACCTGTGCCAATCCAAACCCGGTGGGAGCCTTCAGTGTTAACTTCAACAGGATACCGACCCCTGCGCCCACGCCTGCACCTACGGCTGCAGTTGAGTCTTGCGACGTCACCGATGGATCGTCTCCGAGCTCTTTCTACCCGTGTCAGTGCGGGCCTGAAATGTGCCTTACAAACGAGGTCTGCTCAGGTGACAGGCGAGGCCTTTCGTGCGCTCCTCCGGGCATTTTGAAGGTAGAGTGGCCGTGCCAGACGCCTTCTATCGGCAGCCCCTACTTCGTGTTTTCTGGGAGCAGCGCAACCGGAGCGCCAGTGTACGGCAACACCGATGGCAATTACATTTATTGGGACTCTTCGTGTGATGGCATTGAGCGACCTTTGCTATATCAGCAGCCGCGGTGGATTCTGGACTCTGAAGAACCAAACATGACAGCATCTATGGATTTAGACTCTGATGCGGGCTGCGCTTATTTTGGGCATCATGGTAGTTCAGATTCTACTGGTGTCCCACTGGGGAACACAACTTGGTTCTTGGTATGCGACGGCCAAGGCCTCAACATGACGGTGACGATCTCTTACGAGGCGTATCTCCCGACACCGTCGCCGACGATGGAGCCCGGTACGCCGTGCATTTGTGACAACTTGTGCGGCGTATTTCCTTACCTCGATTTGGATGGCGATGGGTGTCTTGTGGAGGCGGAGTGCAACAAGGACGAGGATCTCGACGGGCACTTTACCGATATGGATGCGGACGGGGATGGATGCGTGACCCAGGCAGAGTGTGGCAACTCTCCATACTCGCACGACCTGCCTAGGTTCCCGATCGTGGGTCCAGCTGAATGTGGCTACGGTTATCCAGATGCTCTGCCGGGCACATCCGCCAGGACGCTTTGGGAGGCAGCGCAGCAACGCTCTCAGGCCGCATGGCTTCCGCATCGCGCGGCCACCTGTCTCGGTAGCAGATCATGGGAGCCCGTGATACCCTAGGAGCTTCGTCTTTGGCGTCGGCCAGCGTCGACTAGCGTCTGGGAGTCGATGAGATGGCGCGGATGCAACGTCGATGAGCGTCGATTTCGCGCCGATGTGCGTCGATCTGCGAGGTGGCTCTCTGAGCTGCTGGCCGCGCAGGGGAGCGCGCTCTGCACGAGAGCCGGCGGGGGTCCGGGCCTCCGAGGCCGTGGCTCTGCAATCGACGCGGGCCCCAGGCGGCCTCGGCCCCAACGCGGCGGCGAGCACGGGGGGTCACGCTGCACCTTCGGGGGGGCCCTGCCCGTCCTCGAAGACTGGTGTCTCTCCTGGTGCCCGACGCGGGCTCGATGCGGGCTCGGTGCGGATCAGGAGTGGATTCGACGCGGATTCGGCACGGATTCGGCACGGATCCGGCACGGATCCGACATGGATTCGGCGCGGGTTCGGCGCGGATAGGGCCGCGACGGGACAGACAAGGTCCCCCACAGATGCAACATAAGGGGGAAGTGAGAGGTGGCGGGCCTTCTCAGAAGGCTCGGAAGACCTTTTAAGCCTTTCGGGAGGTTTTCGAAGCGTTCCTCGAAGACACAGAAAATGTTGGACGTTCCGTTGTTGACCCGCTTCCTGACCTTCGCCTGGGAGCCGCCGACCAAAAAAGTATCCCCACCAGCCCCCCCCCTCCCAGGGCCGCCCGTGTTCTGCGCTTCGTGGTCTGGCTCCCACTCTCTGCGGAGTGTCCTTCGGCCCTGGAGGACCTCGTGGTGTGTGTTGGGTCTCGGGTCTGGGGGACAGTGCCCATCGGCGGACTGGGCCTGGCTTGCCTCCTGGCCCACGTGTCCTCCACAGTGCAGCTCCCCCAGGCGCCTCGCCCTTTGACACCGCAGGAGGCAGCACTACCACCAGTGCCGCCCTTCCCCTCACTCCTCCGCTGGCGGTGCGTCCCCTCTGCGGGCCCTCCCCCCCTCTCTGAGGCCTGGCGCCGTGCCGGCACGCGCTGCGTGGCCCACAGTCGCTTGTTCCCCCCTTGCCCTGTGGAGTGGTCACTCGGGTGTTGGGTCGCCACGGAGTGGTTCAGCCTTCCGCAGCAAGACAGCACCCAGGCCCCCATCAGTTGCCGGCCAGTGCGCCGCACCAGTTCCGCGACAGCTGCTTGGCTTGCAGACGTCGCCGCGGGCGTTCGGAGTCTGGCGCCCCACAGGCGAGTCACTCCACCGGCCTCTCACTTGCCTCCACGGCAGCAGGACCCCCCCTGGCAGGCTGCGCAGGCGCTTCACCACTAGACGGCGGTGCCCCCCACGCCTGCGGATCTCTTCGCTTCAGGGATCGGCATCGCAGTTGCGCCTTGGGCACAGCCGCGTGGCTCCACCTGGCACTGGGGGGCGGATTACTGAGGTCTGGGCGCCGTGTGGTTCAGCCTGCTACGCCTGTACAGCTCTCGGTTTTCCTTCTGTTTCTGAATGCAGAGCATTTTGTTCAGTGCGTGTGCAACTGCACGCTTGTTGTGCCATTCGCGTTGTGCCGCCTGCCCCGGACATTGCCTTTGCCGCCAGACCGTTGTCGAGCGGCCGCCGACCAAAAAAATATCCCCACCAGCCCTGCCTTCCGCTGCTTTTGTTTAATTCGTCGCTGCGTGCCCCGCTTTGACTTGATTCGCCGCCGGCGCGCTCGCCCGCGCCGCGGCCGTTGACTAAAAAGTATCCCCACCAGCCCTGCCCTCCACCTGGCCGTGTGGCCGCTTGCCACTTGCGCTTCCTGTGGCCCTGTCCTCTTGCAGCTGCGCCTCGCTGTGCCTGGATCGTCACGGACGGCCCCAGGGGAGTCGCAAATCGTGGCGCTTCGCGTTTCCTCCCCGGCCAGTTCCTGAACGACGAGTCCACGTGCAAGAACTTCCTGGGCGCCTGGCGCAGGATGCGGCTTCGACGCCTACGGGTGGATCGGCAGCTCAGGCTCAGAGTCGCCTGGCCTGCCGTACGCGAGAGGCACATCAGGGCGATTTCAGGCCACGGGTCCCATCAGTCAAAGGGGTGGAGCTTTGGCTCCCAGTACCACTTTTGTTTTTTTTGGAGGGGCGGTCGTGGCACGGCTCAGGGCAGTCCTGGCACGACCATGTCTGGCATGACAGGGGCAAGAGAAACAGACGGAACAGCGACGGTGCAGGCCACGACGGCAAGCGGCCCAAGTGGACGTGATCTTCCCTGGCACAATCGCTGGATGCGTCAGAAACGTCTCCAGAAGGCTTGGGACCAAGTGTGGCCGTTTGCCACCTGTGTGCCGCCCCCCACACCCTGGCGTCTTGCCCCCCCCCTCTTCTCCTCCTGTGCCGACCGGTTTCGGTCACTTCGCAGCGCCTGGCTCGCCCCTCGCCCTTGAGGATCAGGCTCCACGGCGCTGTCAAATACCTGGGACGATGTCCTTGTTGGTGCGGGCGCAGCGTGTCGTCACACGGCCTTGCCGTTTGCTGTGGTTGTGTTCACCCTGGCCCTCCCCTCGCCTGGCCGCAGCCTGACCCGGCATCTCTCGTCAGCGGGCCTCGTGACGACCGGTGATGGTCCCGATATTGCGTCTGGCTTTGCCCCCCCCGCCCTTGGGGATCAGGCTCTTCGGTGCTGTCAATACCTGGCACGATGCCCCTTGCTTGGGCGGGGCGCAGCGTGCCACACGGCCCTGGCCGTTGACTGTAGCTGTTTTCACCCTGGCCCTCGCTCGGACCCGGCCACAGCCTGGCTTGGTATCCCTGGTGAACTGGCCCCCTTTCCTGGCTTTCCCCGCACCTGGCCGCTGCCTGACCCGGCTCCCTCGTCAGCGGGCCTCGTGACGACCGGTGTTGGTCCCGATGCTGCGCTTGGCTTTGCCCCCCGCCCTTGGGGATCTGGTTCCATGGCGCCGTCAACACCTGGCACGGTGCCCCTTGCTGGGGCGGGGCGCAGCGCGCCACACGGCACCGGCAGTTGACTGTAGCTGTTTTCGCCCTGGCCCTCACTCGGACCCGGCCACTGCCTGGTTTGGTATCCATGGTGAACTGGCCTCCTCTTCGTGGCGTCGCGTGACTCACGCACGCCGCGCCGCGGGCACTTGGCCAGAGGTAGTCTCAGCCTTCAGCTGTCTGCTGCGCCGCCCCCCCTCTGTCCCGTGCGCCCGGTGGCATTCATGCTGGCTTCGTTGAGCCTGGTGAGGCACCCTGGCGTCCAGGTGACTTGCGCGTCGACCAGCTCCGGCTTGAATGCTTGCGTGCTCCTGGCCTCTGGTCCTCAGACACCGCCACAGCCTGGCCGTGTTTGCAGCTGCCGCCTGCATGGTGGGACGCGCCCCTACGTGGATTGCTCAGGAGTGGTTCAGCCTTCTTGTTCAGCCATGTAAGGTTGTCTCTGTTGGCATGCAGCACTGGTTCGCTGGACTGCTTGCGCAGCCCCGCTTTACCACGCTCGGCGACACGACTACCTCGAGACAGGGTGCAATTCGTTCGTCTTCCCGGTGGTCTCGCCTCTGGGATGGCTGCACATCGCCAGGCGCGTTGCCTTGATCAGGGAAGTGTAGAAGCATGCAGTGTATCAACCGCCTTGGAAGTATTTTTTCTCCGAGATCTCTTGGAACCATTCTTGGGGCCCTTTTTGGGCCCTCGCGGAGCCACTTGGGGCAATCTTGGGGCCCTCTTGGGGTTTGTTTCGGTTGTTATCGGGCCCTCTTGGGGCTTTTCGGGGGGGTTCGGGAGGCCTTTTGGGGCCATCTTGACCCCCGATGTTAAAACAAAAAGGGTCACATTTTCCCCCCCCCTCCACATTTTCGGAGGCTCAAGCATGTCATCTTGGCGCTGTCTGGAACCGTTCTTGGAGCGCTTTCGGGCGCTCTTGGGGCCGTCTTGGAGCCCTGTTTGGTCCCTCCTGGGGCTCGCTTGGTCGAGAAGGGGCAAATCATGCATTTCCCTGTGGTTTCGGAGCGATTTTGGCCTCTCGGGGGGGTCCTTGGGGGTCTCGGGGGGCAATCTCGGAACCGTCTTGAGGCCTTTTGAACGTGCGTCGGCGGCTATATCGAGCCATTTTGGAAGCCACCTTGGGCTCTCTGAGGCCCTCTTGGAGCCATCTTGCACCATATTGGGCGCTCTGGCGGATCTCGCCCCCCCCATTCCCAGGTCTAGGGGAGGGGGGGGGTTGGGGATCCCTCCCCCGAGCAGGGGAAGGACGGATTGTGGCAGAGAGAAGACAACAACTCGTTAAACCAGAAGGCCAGAGGGCTTCTGAGAAGCCCCGCCGCCTTCTGAGGAGGCCTCCTCCTTCCCACTTCCCCCCTCGCTCGCCGCCGACCACCCTCAGGAGCAGGTGATCGTCACGCTTCTTGTTGGGTGGTCCTGGGGCGTGCGGTTGATGGCGGCGCGCACGTGCGGGAGGGCGGGGCGACGGGGGTGCGGCCCTCCAAAAGGGCGGGGGGGGGGTTCTTGGAGGGGTGCGGCGGCGCCTCAGAAGGCTTCTCGGCGAAAGCGGGAGGACCTTTGAGAAGCCCCCCGGCCTTCGTAGATTGCCGCCCCCCCGCGCCACCCCGCGCCCCACCTGCGCACCGCCGAATTGCGCCTCCGAGGGGGCCCGCCGCCGAAGGTCTGGGAGTGGCGCCGGGCGGAGGGCCTGCCGCGTGCGGGAGGTTTGGGGGTGGCGGCTGGAGGTCTGGGGCTGTGGGTTGGGGGCGCACGTTGGGCGGGGGGCTGGGGGAGGAGGAAGAGGAGGAGGAGGAGGAAGATGAGGAGGAGGAGGAGGAGGAGGAGGAGGAGGAGGAGGAGGAGGAGGAGTAGGAATAATCAGAAGAATAATGCGAATACTGATGATATTAATAGTACGAATAAGAAGAATTCGAATCATAAGAAGAAGGCTAATAACACGATTAAGAATATGAATAACCACGGTAATCATATTAATAATAATCATAATACTAAGAGTGCTAATATTAATAATACTGATAAGAGGAAGAATGCGAGTAATAATACGCATAATAATAAGACTAATACTAATGATAACACGAATACTAATTCTATTAACACTATTTATAATACTATTAATAATATTAATATTACTACCAATAATAGTAATACTAATAATGATAGTCATATTAGTAATACTAATACTAATGCTAATACTAATAATACTAATAAGACTAATAATACTCATAAGAAGAATCATCATAATAAGAATAATGTTAGTAAGACGAGGAATACTATTAGTAAACATAAGAAGCAGAGTCATAATAACAATAATAATAATAACATTAATAAGAATGAGAAGACGAATGATAAGAAGAACAAGAACACTGATACTACTGATAACCGTACTACTAAGAAGAAGAGTAAGACTAAAAAGACGAATGGTACGAATATTAATTCTACTACTACTAATACTACTAATACTGATAATACTAATGATAAGAATAATAATACGAATAATACTAATAACACTGATAATAAGAAGACGGCTGATAATAATACGAATAATAATGATAATCATACTAGTACTAATACTAACAACAATAATAATACTCATACGCATACACATGATAATAGTAATAATGCTAATACTTACTACGAATACCTATAATACTTACCCTGTGACGTACCCAACCCATTTGTGTCAATGGAAACGAGGAGTTGGCCGAAACTTGTATGGACAATCGACTTGATGTGTAAGGTACTTGAGAGGCGTCACTGTGCTGGGCCCCGCAAGCAGGCCTCGAAAGTGGCGACAGTTTCACAGATCGCAGCCCCCCAGGGATGGCGAGGTCTAATTTTAACCTGCGTGTGGCGTCACTGTGCTGGGCCCCGCAAGCAGGCCTCGAAAGTGGCGACAGTTTCACAGCTCGCAGCCCCCCAGGGATGGCGAGGTCTAATTTGAATCTGCGTGTGGCGTCACTGTGCTGGGCCCCCCAGCAGGCCTCGAAAGCGGCGACAGTTTCACAGATCGCAGCCCCCCAGGGATGGCGAGGTCAAATTTGAATCTGCGTGTGGGTACCCACTGTGCTGGGCCCCCCAGCAGGCCTCGAAAGTGGCGACAGTTTCACAGATCGCAGCCCCCCAGGGATGGCGAGGTCTAATTTGAGTCCGCGGTGGGTACCCACTGTGCTGGGCCCCCCAGCAGGCCTCGAAAGTGGCGACAGTTTCACAGATCGCAGCCCCCCAGGGATGGCGAGGTCAAATTTGAGTCCGCGGTGAGTAGCCACTGTGCTGTGCCCCTCAGCAGCCCTCGAAAGTGGCGACAGTTTCACAGATCGCAGCCCCCCCAGGGATGGCGAGGTTTAGTCTGGGTCTGCGGTGAGTACCCACTGTGCTGGGCCCCTCAGCAGCCCTCGGAAGTGGCGACAGTTTCACAGATCGCAGCCCCCCAAGGATGGCGAGGTCTAATTTGAGTTTGCGGTGAGTAGCCACTGTGCTGGGCCCCTCAGCAGCACTCGAAAGTGGCGACAGTTTCACAGATCGCAGCCCCCCAGGGATGGCGAGGTCTAATTTGAATCTGCGTGTGGGTACCCACTGTACTGGGCCCCTCAGCGGCCCTCGAAAGTGGCGACGGTTTCACAGAACGCGGCCCCCCGGGGATGGCGAGGTCCCATTCGAGTCTGCCGTGAGTACCCACTGTGCTGGGCCCCCCAGCAGGCCTCGAAAGTGGCGACAGTTTCACAGATCGCAGCCCCCCAGGGATGGCGAGGTCACATTTGAGTCTGCCGTGAGTGCCCACTGTGCTGGGCCCCCCAGCAGGCCTCGAACGTGGCGACAGTTTCACAGATCGCAGCCCCCCAGGGATGGCGAGATCCCATTTGAGGTTGCCGTGAGTACCCACTGTGCTGGGCCCCCCCAGCAGGCCTCGAAAGCGGCGACAGTTTCACAGATCGCAGCCCCCCAGGGATGGCGAGGTTCCATTTGAGTCTGCCGTGGGTACCCACTGTGCTGGGCCCCCCAGGAGGCCTCGAAAGTGGCGACAGGTTCACAGATCGCAGTCCCCCAGGGATGGCGAGGTCTCATTTGTGTCTGCCGTGAGTACTCACTGTGCTGGGCCCCCCCAGCAGGCTTCGAAAGTGGCGACCGTTTCACAGATCGCAGCCCCCCAGGGACGGCGAGGTCCCATTTGAGTCTGCCGTGAGTACCCACTGTGCTGGGCCCCCCCCAGCAGGCCTCGAAAGTGGCGACCGTTTCACAGATCGCAGCCCCCCAGGGATGGCGAGGTCTCATTTGAGTCTGCCGTGAGTACCCACTGTGCTGGGCCCCCCAGCAGGCCTCGAAAGTGGCGACAGTTTCACAGAACGCAGCCCCCCAGGGATGGCGACGTTCCATTTGAGTCTGCCGTGAGTACCCCCTGTGCTGGGCCCCCCAGCAGGCCTCGAAAGTGGCGACAGTTTCACAGAACGCAGCCCCCCAGGGATGGCGAGGTCCCATTTGAGTCTGCGTGTGGCGTCACTGTGCTGGGCCTCCCAGAAGGCCTCGAAAGTGGCGACGGTTTCACAGATCGCAGCCCCCCAGGGATGGCGAGGTTCCATTTGACTTTGCCGTGAGTACGCACTGTGCTGGGCCCCCCGGCTGGCCTCGAAACTGGCGACAATTTCACAGATCGCAGCCCCCCAGGGATGGCGAGGTCTCATTTGAGTCTGCCGTGAGTGCCCGCTGTGCTGGGCCCCCCAGCAGGCCTCGAAAGTGGCGACAGTTTCACAGATCGCAGCCCCCCAGGGATGGCGAGGTCCCATTTGAGTTTGCCGTGAGTACCCACTGTGCTGGGCCCCCCAGCAGGCCTCGAAAGTGGCGACAGTTTCACGGATTGCAGCCCCCCAGGGATGGCGAGGTTCCATTTGAGTCTGCCGTGAGTGCCCACTGTGCTGGGCCCCCCAGCAGGCCTCGAAAGTGGCGACCGTTTCACAGATCGCAGCCCCCCAGCTGGCACGCAGCGACGAGCGAGGCGAAAGGCAAGGGGGAAGAGAGGGGCGGGAGGGGGCGGGAAGGAAGGAAGGAAGTAAGGAAGGCGACGCGCGAGCAGTGCTCTATTCAAAACGAGAACCCAACGCAGGAGGGTTGGGAATAATATTAATATTAATAAGAATACAAGAAGAATAGTAGTAATAATAATAATAATAATAACAATAAGAATAACACTGATAATAATAAGAAGAATAAGCATACTAGTACTAAGAAGAATAATAATACGAATAAGAATACTAATACTAATACGACTAAGAAGAATAATACTCATAATAAGAAGAATAATAAGAAACATAATACTTAAAATAAGAATAATAATAAAATAATAATAAGAAAATGAAGAAGAACAATAATAAGAATACTAATAATAAGAAGAAGAAGAATACTACTAATAATAATAGTAATAATAAGAATAATAATAAGAAGAATAAGAAGAATAATAATAATAAAAAGAAGAATAGTAATAATAATACTAATAATAATAAGAAACATAATAGGAATACGAATACTAATAATAAGAATAATAATAATAAGAAGAAGAATAATATTAAGAAGAATAATAAGAATAATAAGAATAATAAGAAGAATAATAAGAAGAAGAATAAGAATAATAATAAGAATAAGAAGAATAATACTTATAATAATAATACTAATAAGAAGAAGAAGAAGAAGAAGAAGAAGAATAAGAATAATAAGAAGAAGAAGAATAATAATAATAAGAAGAATAAGAAGAATAAGAAGAAGAAGAAGAAGAAGAAGAATATTAAGAACAAGAATAATAATAAGAATAATAATAAGAAGAATAAGAAGAGGAGGAGGAGGAGGAGGAGGAGGAGGAGGAGGAGGAGGAGGATTCGAGGTTGTGACGCTGGCGGTCCGGAGTTTTGGGTTGGGGGCCGACGCACGCTCACTGCGGCAGAGGGCGCCGCTGGCGGCCTACTTCCAGGAGGGCACCAGCGTCTGCCAGCAGTGCACCACGGGCGCCACGCGGCGGCGCCGCTCGGAGGCACGGCGCCGTGAAGGGGGAGGAGGGTCCACAGGGAGTCGTGAGCTGACCTCTGCGCAAGAGTCGTCGCGCCCTGGAAGGAAGAGGAGGAGAGGAAAGTGAAGGAGGAGGAGGAGGAGGAGGAGGAGGAGGAGGAGGGGGAGGAGGAGGGAGGAGGAGGAGGAGGAGCAGGAGGAGGAGGAGGAGGAGGAGGAGGAGGAGGAGGAGGAGGAGGAGGAGGAGGAGGAGGAGGAGGAGGAGGAGGAGGAGGAGGAGGGAGAAGAGGAGGAGCGAGGAGGAGAGGAGGAACGAGGAGGAGATGAGGAACGAGGAGGAGAGGAGCTTCGTCGTCGTGCCAGAAAGGCCTGCGTCGACTGCCCCGCGGGCAAAGAAGACCTGGGCGACTTCGACAACTGCATCTCGGGTGTGTGGCTCACCGCGCCCATTCAGGCTGGGGACGACGTAGTCTTCATCAACAAGGACCTCGACGAAAGCGGCGTCCAGCTGCAGAAGGGCGACGGGATCACCATGTCCACACGCAACCCTGGCCACTTCGAGAGATTGGTCATCTCCGACAAAGTCGGCTTCGATGACAGCGAGCGGCTGTCGTCATACCACGAGTCTCTGCTCCGCAGAAGTGGGCCCTTCTTTGTGCTTGACCACGGAGTGAACGCAGGGTTCAACAAGTTCGACGCGATCATCTCGTCCTGCTCAAGCACCGACGGTATGGGAATCAGCTCGCAGTACCCTTGCGGATGCGGCATTGAAATCTGCGACTTCGGGTACAGGTGTGACGAGCAGTGCGCTGGGAGCAACACGGTTCTGGATCCTTACGTGGGCAGCAGCTACGGGGACGGCGGGTGCTGCATCGGACCCCCTGCCTCTCCTCTGCCGACCCCGGCCCCGACGGTGTCGGCCAAGGGTGACCCTCACCTGGTCAACCTTCAAGGCGAACACTTCGACATCAACCACGGCGGCGAGTTCACTCTGCTGCGCATCCCGCAGGCCGCTGACATGACCGCCGAGGTGGAGCTCCAGGCCACCATCCGCCCCGAGCACAAGAAGCCGTGCACCACGTACATCACCGCGGTTGAGCTCTCGGGTGCCTGGCTCGGCGGTAACGTTGTGCAGGCGCGTTCGGGATGAGGGTAATTCGGCCCTCGTGGATTCCACCCCCGTGTTCGTCCCCGCTTGACCCGGAGCCAGATCAGGGAAATCTGGATTCCGTGGACGTGTGGTATGTTCTCATCTCCATCCTCTCAGTCCGATTCCCCTCACACACGCCGACAGGGTCGGCGGATATATAACAAACAAATAGCCTGATCAAAGACCCAAACATATGCAGCTGCAGGAGCCGCGAGGGAGATGAGACGAAGGAGGGGGGCAAGCAAACTCCGATTAGCGCACGCGGTATACCCTCTGCCGTCATAGGCAGCGAGCCGCAGGAAGAACGAGGCGCGGGGCAGTGCGGGCAGGGGCGGGGGCGAGTGGGCGGGACGTGTGCGAACTCTCGGTAGAGCTCCCCATGGGCCACGAAGCGTGTGAGGGGTGTACCGAAATGGGCGGGGGGGGGGCATGCGAACGTCGCCGCTGGGGCCTTCGGTGGAGCTCCCTATGGGGTTACGAAGCGTGTGAGGGGTTTGCCGACATGAGTCGGCGGTCAGACGCATGCGAACGTGGCCATTGGGGCCTCAGGTGGAGCTCCTTATAGGGCCACAGAACGTGTGAGGGGTGCGCCGACATGGGTGTGGCAGACGCATGTGACCACCCCCACTGGGGCCTTAGGTGGGGCTCCATATGGTTCCACGAAGTGCTGTATTGGGTTTGGCGGACGCATTTGGCCACACCCGCTTGGGTCTTCGGTGGAGTTCCCTATAGGGTCACGAAGCGCTGCACAGGGTGTGGCGGACGCATGCGGGCACCCCCACTGGGGCTTTCGGTGGAACTCCCTATGGGGCCACGAAGCGCTGTACTGGGTGTGGCGGACGCATGTGGGCACCCCCACTGGGGCCTTAGGTCCCTATGGGGTGCAAGGGATGGGAGGTGCGGGAGGAGAGGGAGGAAGGGGAGGAGGAGGGGGAGGAGGAGAGGAGAGACGCGGGGCGTTGTCTGCAAAACGAGGACCCAACACCACAGGACGATTGGGGAACAATGAACAGCCACTCCTACCTCCCAATTCCTCCCTGGCGTTGTGCGCGGAGGATGGGAGGATTACCATTGCTTCCTCACATCGCTAACACTTAAGTGGTGTGTGCGTTTGCAGAGTGGGCAAAACAGGGAGAAGGAGAGGAAGATAGAGAGAGGGAGAGACACAGAGATCAGCCACTGCCCCCCGCCAGTTGCTCCCACCCGGCTTGTATGCAATGAGTGAGTGGGAACAACCGCTCCACCCTCCCAGTCCCCCGTCGTGTTTTGCGTGCGAGTGCAAGAGAGCAGCCGCTCCCCCATCCCAGTTTGCTCTGTGTGCTGTGCGTCTATGGAGAGAAGGGTGTATATGTGTGTCTATACGGTCGAGAGAAGGGTGTATATGTGTGTCTATACGGTCGACGATCTACCTCATACCTACACAGAGAGAGAGAGAGAGAGAGAGAAAGAGAGAGAGAGAGAGAGAACGAGAGGGAGGGAGGGTGAGAGAGAGAGAGAGAGACAGAGACAGAGAGACCCATCTATATATATATATATATAGGGAGAGAGGGAGGGAGAGAGAGAGAGAGAGAGAGAGAGGGAGGGTAACTACCCCACTCCCATTTCCTCCTCCGCGTTGTGCGCGGAGAGTGTGAGAGGTAAGTATCGCCCCCTTCCGTTGCCCTTTCTGCGTTGTGCGTGGAGAGCGAGAGAGAGAAAGAGAGAGAGAGAGAGAGAGCGAGAGAGAGATAGAGAGAGCAATCATTGCCCCCACTATTTGCCACCTTTCTTTGTGTGCAGAGTGCGGTGGAGCAATCGCTACTCCGTCTCACTTCACCTCAGGGTTTTTTTTTTCGGGAGTGTAAGAGAGCATCCACTTACCCCCCAGTTCCACGTCAGTAGTGCTCGCGTGCAGTGTGAGAGAGTAACAAGTCTCCTTTCCCATATCCTCCTTTGTGGGGGGCGTGTGAGAGGGCATCTGCTGCCCCTTCCCAGTTCCCCCTCTGCGTTTGGGTTGATCGTAAGAGAGAGTACTCATTCCCGCCACCCTGATACCCCTTTTGCGTTGTGCGTGAAGGGCGTGTGAGAGAGAGAGAGAGAGACAGATATTCAACAAAGGAATGCAGAGACAGACAGACAGAGAGAGAGAGAGACAGAGAGATCACATACCCGCTCTTTCCCCATCTGTGGTGTGTGTGGGAAGTGTGTAATGCAAGAAGAGAAGTGAACATGAGGATGATGGAGAGAAGGAGAAGGAGGTGCCACGACTCCTCTGCCGTCCCCCCACGCCAAGATACCCTCATGGGTGGCAAGATGCTGGAGGGGGAAGTGCAGTGATGAAGAGGGTGAGGGGAAGGCGGAGAAAGAGGAGGAGGAGGAGGAAGAAGACAACGAAGATAAGGAGGATCATAATTGCCAGGAAGTGTGAGAGAGAGAGAGACAAACAAAGAGAGGAGAAGGATAATGATGACGTGAAGGGGAAAGGAGCGTAAATCTCGTCTGGGACACCGACGTACTCCACAATCCCCCGGCCTCGATTCCTCCTCAATCTCCCCTTCCTCCTCCTCCTCCTACTCCTCCCTGCCGCACCCAATGGAGGGGAGCAGGGAGAGGAGCAGGAGGGGGATGATGATGAGGAAGAGGAGGGGAGCGGATGAGGGAACAGTAGGGAGGTGAGAACGCGAGGAGGAGGAAGAGGAGGGGGAGGAGGATGAGGATGATGAGGATGATGAGGAGGACGAGGCGGGCATGAACCGTCTGTTTTCAAGCTGTGTGAGGTCGTTGATTCCCAACCATCCTGTGGTGTTGGGTCCTCGTTTTGAAGAGAGCGGCCCGCGTCTCCTCTCCTCCTCGTCCTCCCCTCCTCCTCTATCCTTCCCTGCCGCTGCTCTCCGCACTCCTTTCCCGTCTGAATCACCACCTCCATCATCATCGCCACCATCATCATCACCATCATCAGCATATCTACCATCGTCACCACCACCTTCACATCATCATCGTCATCACTACTATGAATGTGACTATGAATAGGTTGTCGTTTATATAGTTAGTATCGTCAACATTGATATTATTGTTGATGTTATTATTTTTGTTGCTGTCATCGTTCGTGTCCGTGGTATTACTATTGCTATTGCTATCACGACTGTTGCCAGTATTATTACTATCGCGACTACGACTATTATTATTCGTATTGATATGCGAATGGTTGACGACATTATTTGTCAGAGTGAGGGGGCTGAACCGAACAGTCATTCACTGTCCCTGGGTGCGTGGCTGAAGTGGAATTCCGCGATGCGGATTCTTGTTGTTGTTGTTGTTGAACATTATTTATTCTAAAGAATAATTATTGTTGGGCCCCCTGGTGCGCGCCCCCCCTGCGCCGCCTAGGCCGCAGCTACATTTTCATCATTTTCGTGAGGAAGCCTCAGGTAATACGATGTCATCAAGATCCGGTTGTTTTGTTGTAATCCGTTTTCCCTTTCAAAAAACACTATAAAATGACATTTCTTGTTCTAATATAATCAAATTTCAAGAATCCCTTTGCAAAAAATAAGGTAAAGTGGACATTCGCGCGCGCAAGACGAAATCCTTCCAAAAACTTAGTGTGTCGAGGGGGGGGGGGGGGTTGGGGGGTGGGTGTGGGGGGGGGGGGGGGGGGCGGGACGATTTTAACATAAAAACATCAAACAACCAATGGTTTTTCAAAAACAAATGTCAAAATTTCATCCCGCGCGCTCTTGCGGATTCGTAGGAAACCCAACACTTTTTAATCATTTCTGTCAAACGGGCTTTTGCGAGCAACTTTTTCGAACTTCTCCAACAACGGTTGCGCACCTGCCAGGGCCATCATCCCTGTCAAATAATACCATGCGGGACACATTCGTTTTTCTTCGCGCGCGCACGCCGTCGTCGTCGGCCGCGGGGCCCTGAATAGTAGCCACGGTCGTCCGCATGCCACGAAGTGAAGTGTCCGAACGTCATAGGGCGGGAAGCTGGGTGTGGGTTGTGGCGAAGAGTCGTTTGGAAACTTGGTAGAGCTTGAACCGGCCCCCCCACAAAGTGGGGGTATTGCCCGCCTCCTATGAAAACCCTGGCACTGGTGAGAACGGAGTGTCCCCAGTCTTAAATGATTGTTGTTGTTGTTGTTGTTGTTGTTGTTGTTGTTGTTCTTCTTGTTCTCGTTCTTGTTCTTGTTCTTGTTATTGTTCTTGTTTTTGTTGTTGAATTTTATTTTCTGAAGAACAATTATTGTTGATCCCCCCCACCGGTGCATTTTGTTTTTCTCAATCAAAGTGTGCCCCTCGACGCTCGCACCTTGTTTTTTGACAGGGAAAGTCTTCCTGCCCAAACTGGGCCCCTGGCCCCCGGGTTACAACAACAACGGCTCCCGCCTGAGACTTCCTTACAATTTAGCCAGGACCCCCGCTCCCGCCCGAGACTCGCATTGTATGCAGGAATCGCGCTCTCGCTTGGGACTTCCTTACAATTCATTCAGGAATCGCTCTCCTGGCGCTCTGGAGTGGAGATTCGCTTGCAGCTTACTGAAGAATTGCCTTGCGTTGGAATGTCCTGCAATTTGCCCAAGCGCCGCGCTCCCGACACCCAGGCACCCAGGAGTCCCAGGAGTCGCGCCCGTTGTGGCCCCATGTGCATGCCCTTCGTGGCCCCGCTGTCGCCATTTGTGCCCCCCTCACTGTCCTACGTGGCCCAATTGCTACCCTCAGTGGCCCCATAGTTGCCGTCTGTGGTCCCGCATTATCTGCACTTCGTGGCCACCGCTCGTTCGCGCTCTTCGTGGCCCCATACGCATTCCCTTCGTGTCCCCGCTGTCGCCCTTCGTGGCCTACTTCGTGCCCTTCGTGGCCCTGCTGTCGTTCTCTCTAAAAATTCTCGCGCATCGCTTTCGCTCGTCGTCGCCGTCGCGTCGTCGCCGTCGTCTTCCGTCGTCGTCGTCGTCCGTCGTGGTCCGGTTCCTGGTCCGGCCCTCTTGGGGTCGGGTCTCGGTCCGCGGCCGCCCCGCC